ATCCTTCTGAGCTTTAGTGGATAAAAAGCCAGCCTGAGTCTCCTGATGTGAAAACTGTTTTTATTTCTTGAAAAACAGACAAATTTGAAATATAAATAGCCATATGCCGTTGTTGTTTCGGATTTGCTGAGGGTAAGCAGTTCTGTTGTAGCTTTTGAATAACAGGAGGAAGCTGTCATTTTTTGCAAATTTATTTTGGATTTTTAAGCCCTTTGCAGATATTAAAGCTACACAAGATCTCTGTGAAGTAGATGGCATTAACTCTTGTTCTAGTGAGGCATCCCAGAGGTGAAGGAGCCTGCCCAGGTGCAGCAGACATTTGCAAGGACTGGTTAGATGAACCCAATAATGAATTTATGTAGCTGAGTATGGACCAGGGTAGTCTTGGTATCTTTTTATAATGATGGTCTGATTGCGCAGTTTGTCTTTGTGTAGGTCTCTGCTCTGGGATGTGAGGTAGAGTGCAACAGATACTCCCTTTTTTGAATGTGTTTTTTTTTGTTTGGTTGGGTTTATTTATTTTTAATGGGATCGCCAGTTTTCCACAGTGTTGCTAAGACAGCCCAAGGGAACGTAGATGGCGAGTTTAGAAATGTTAGAAGAAGAAGAAGCAGCAGCTTGGTGTGCTGGGGTGTTTCCTCGCATTCATCTTTCCAGTGTTTCCTGTTTGAAATGACTTTTTGATGCTCTGATACCTCTCCTGTGAGCTACACAAGGATTGGCGACTTACCTTACTTACTGTTGCCAGCAGAGCTGCTGGCTCCATGCTAGTGCAGGAAATGATGCTTGGCTCCCTGGGCTACACTTGCGTAGCCTCCCCATGGGGTCGTGCACAGCACAGGGGAGATGTACAGGTGGCAATCAGGGACCTCCGTGTATATAGGAACAGCGATGAATATCGTGGAAACACGTCCTTGTATCATGGATGTGGCTCGTGCCCTTTGTCTCTGACTACGCCTTCAAGTTGCCTGTGCTAATGCTGTAAAATGGAACACTTTTATGTGGAGAGAGAAAAGGGTAAAGTTGAGCATAGCCCTTTATATTCTTCATGTGTATATGTTATATGCCCTTTATCGTTTATATTGCAGCAGTGCCTTGTGGCACTGGCCAGGATTGGGTGCCACTGCAGGACACCATTCAGAGTCTCCATCACACTCATTTATATAAATGTATATCATCACTGGTTTATATAAAATCGTTTTGTAGTTTACTTTGATTACAGTACATTCAGCCTTTGATTTTTACATTGAAAGGTACTGTAATGGCCGTGGATTAATCTGAACAAAAACGGTGCTGTGGGAAGGGCAGGAGGGGGAAGACTAGGAAGGGGGTGCGCATAACAGGTGCTTTCAGTTTTCTTTTAGGTGTGAAGGGACCCACACCACCTTGGTCTTTCAGCTATTGGGTCTGACGCACAGGTCACCCTGGACAGAAAGAAGTGCTTTATCAGTCAGGTTGATGCCTGCCGTACAGGGCTGCTTTCCACAGCCCGTTGGGGAGCGAGATGTGCGTCTGCTGGCAGTGGGAAGGATGGCAAATGGTGTGACAGTGGAGATGTCAGACGGGGTCTGTACTGCAGCATGCCCACAGGTAACAGCAGCAGTGGTGTCTCTGCCTGGTGCTGTCTTTGCAGGCCATAATGCTAACAGTATCGTGGTCTCCCCACCACTCTCGTCCCTGCCCCTCTTAAAGAAAACAAACAAACAAACAAACAAAAAACCAAAAAAGGCAGCTAGTACATTAACTGTTCCAACAATTACATGATGGAACAGAGAGAGATAAAAAGCACATCTTAAAATTAAGGAACGCAAGTTTCCCTTGGGGTAGAAGTCAGCATTAACGAGACTGCTGCTCATGCTCTGTTAAATAAAGATCATTAAAGGACTGGCAGGAAAGTCTCCTGTTCTCTTCAGGAGCAAAATTCCGAACTGTGTTGTAGAGACTCTAGCTGTATCTAAGGCATTTCCATGTAAGACTTCTTTTCCCATTGCCTGTCTGCACAGTGCCACTGCTGGAGATTTGCTGGGATTTTATACCTCACCACGAAGTGCAAGATTTTTTAAAGTCATGGAAATCAGTGTTTTATTACGAAACAGAAGTGGGATAAGCCATCAGTAGTCTTGGCTCCTTTCTTCCGAGGACTTTATGTATCATAGATTGGATAGGTCCCCCTGAGATATAAGAAAGCCAAACTTTTAAAAGGCTCAGTTCAGGTTTAGTAATTGTTTTAAATAGTTGAATAAAAATGCTTTTTTATTGTATGGCTAGTGTTCTACCTCAAATGTGAAGCTGCTTGTTTCTTTTGGCAATAAAGGCTGATTTTTACTTCTCTCTGAGGACAGCAGTAAAACTTTCAGCATCTCGGGCACAGAAACCGGCCCTTTGCCTAACTGGAGGCTAGAGACCAAAATTTGTTCTTGGGGTTTTTGAGTTCCCCACAACCTCACTCTCTGACTTTGTTTTTAACCTGTTCATCTGGAGCTTCTGAAAGAATTTTTGTTTGGGAGAAGAGAGACCGAGGTTAGGATATTCCCTTCTTTCAGAGGCATTGTATAGGCACAAGGCAAAGCTCAGACGGGATGTTTGATGTCTGTGGTTATGCGTGCTACTTGGTAATTTTTCTGGCATCAAGTTTCGGTTGATGGATTACAGGGGTAAAGGAATTGGCACTTTTCAAAGAGTTGCATTGAAAGATGAACAGAAGTTGGATTTACTCTTCACTCCACCATGGGCAGGAGAGCAGAAATCTCTGCTAATCCTGCTCTGAAGGTAGACCAAAATATCAACCCCTAGGGTAGCTGATCAGAAGTGAGAAAGGGAAGTTTAGAGAAACAGGAGGAGTCGATATGTTTCCCGTGACGGTGCTGAACTCTGGCATGCTCCGAGGAGGAGCCAGCAATGGGTGTTTATGTGGGGGAGACGTGAAGGCCCCCGGACGGCAGGGCGACACCGGGAGAAAGTGCTACAGGTTTCCTTTTCCTAGACCTTGGGGAGGTGCTGGGGGAAGAAAGAAAGAGAAAAGGCTAGAAAGTGTTAAAATTGCCAGACTAGGTGATTTTTCTCGGCCGTGTAGAAAGGGTTTTCTCTCAGACTGAGTGTACATTCATTCACTTTTCTCTGCTTGTTCTCCTCTTGTTCTCCTCTCGTTCTGTTTCTCTCTAGTCTCTCTTTTTGTAGTTTCTTTTATCCCCTGTATCCCTCTCCCCGTATGTTTCTTCGGAGTACCTATTTTGTATCATCCCTGCTACTGGGATTTTCTTTATGAGGCCCTGATTATTGGGCGTTTGCCCTGAGTGTGGTTCCCCCTCCAGAAGAGGAAAAGTGCTACGTCTGAGCAGTGTTTGCTGTCACTCCATGTATGCAGGTAGGATGGAGGAAAGCTCCTTTACCCACTAGTACAGAGTGGCAGGACTGCAGAAATGACTGAGAAAGGAGCGACAAAGGTGCACCCTGTGTAGTCCTTTTTGAGCCAGCCTAGGGAAAAAATTTTGTTAAGCAATTGCTTTCCTTTTTCCTTTGAGAAGACTTTTCCTGAATTAATTCATATCACCCATTACAAATAGTGGCTGAAAGAGAGATCTTGCGAAATAGCTCAGCTGGGAGGTTTTTGGTGCAATAAAACTGTGAACACAGGTCCCCTCCATGAACAACTGCGGGGCCACCCTGGTGTAATAGTGTTGAATTTCCAAGGTTTCACAGCAATATAAAGGCACTCACAAGAGAAGGCTTGGAAAGCAAACAAAAGAATACGGTCAGGATATTTCTTCCGTTTCTCCCTTTCGCCAGCGGCCTTGAGGAGCTAATAAGTAGTTCTGAGAGATTTCAGGAAGCATTTGCAGACCTGGGACTCCCAGGCGGCGCTTCATGTTTCATCTTTGGGTCGCACCGTGGGAACGAATTATGTTTGTACAGTCTTGAAGCAGGTGCGTCAGCTCTGAGGCATAATAAACATGCGCAGTGAACTAATATTGGTAGTGATTAGTTTAAACTGCTTTTCAGCCACAAGGAAACCGGGAGTGCTTTCACCTACGCTCCTTCCCCTTCATCACAGTCATCCGTTCCCCAGATCGCCCCCGCCTCCACATTGTCTACCATTGTCTGGGGGCTCCACTGAAGATTGCCTTAATGATTTTTTAATTCATTTTTTAAATCACGATTATTCTTGTTAACAAGATAGAGCCATCGGGCTCCCATTGCTGAGACCTGTTGAGGCCTGCTCTGAGCACCTGAGCAAAGCAGGTGCAGGCATCATCCCTGTTCGGGCTGCTGCTCGCTCTTGGCATGGGGCACGCCATGGGCCTCCTGTGACCCCACTGGCACTGGGAGCTTGCGCGCGCTGGCTGCCTTGCAGCACAGCAGCCTGTGCTTGCATATTTCAGGCAAGAGGCTAGGTGCTCCGGGGGCCTGCTGATTTCCTCCTGCCCCCTGCTCAGGGCAAAATTTGTGCATGACCAGGGTAACTCAGTGAATAGACTGGGGAAGCGGGAAAAGACTCTTCCGAAGTAACATGCTGCAAGGGATGCTCCTGTCCCTGAAACTGGGTGCTTCCATGTTAAGAAGGAAGGAAAATCAAGTAGAAGGTTTGGATTGTTCAGGTAGTTTTCATGGCAAAACTCAGGGCATGTGAGGTAGCAGTGGTTACTGTTGCTTTTGACAAGAGTGATTTAGTTGGCTACCTTTCCCAGGCACGCTATAGGAATAGAGAGTGTGTTTCAAGCCAGAGTGGTGCTACCTGTAGGCAGAACAGTATATTATCCCCGAGCAATGGTCAGTATTGCAGTAGTTAGTCCTAGACGTTGATCCTCCTCTCGCACCTTTAATGTAACGTCTCCAGATACTGAACATTAATTTTCTTTGTCAATCCCACTGGAATTCGTGAGAGTCTTGAGGCTTCCTTTCTCCATGACAACAGCAACAAAGAAGTTCTCTGGGATCAATGTGTACTGAATTTGGACGTCTTTACTGATAGCGCCTAACTGTTTTCTCCTCTTGCTTTACAGATCACAGGTGTTATCCTTCTTGCAGTTGGAGTCTGGGGCAAGCTCACTCTAGGCACATACATCTCTCTCATTGCTGAAAACTCCACCAATGCCCCCTATGTGCTCATTGGAACGGGTACCACAATCATCGTCTTTGGGCTTTTTGGCTGCTTTGCCACTTGTCGAGGCAGCCCATGGATGCTGAAATTGGTAAGTAAGCCAAAGTGTCTTGTGGTAGTGGGGGAGAGGTTTTGTGGATGTATTGAGATTTTACCAGATGTTAACATGTTTTTTTAGACTTAGAAGCTAGGCTTTATTGACCTTAATGTTCAACATGTGTGTCTTCTGGACAAAGTAAGGAAAAAAATGTCTTTGCCAAAACCATTTGATGATTGAATATGAATGAATTTTGCTACTGCACAGCATACAGGCCCGTGTGTGTTTGGGAGCAAGGGTAAAATGCGGCTGCTGAATTACTCTGTGAGCAATCCTATGATTGTTCTGGTGTGAAGTCTATGGACGAAACAGTTGGTACCCTCTAAATGCACACCAGCTTTTTTTTTTCTCCCTAGCATTCACTAGAATAAAATAAGTCAACCCCAGAAAACTAAACTCTGTACTATATGTTTGTCAACATCTCAAGAGCCGCATGGAATTGAGGTGCACTAATTATAGGTACAACAGCCATCTCTCTCTGTATAATTTTCTGTATTCTAAGTTTTCCAGTCTGCCTTAAAATGCAAAGTAACTACAGGTGGTGAATTAGAGAATGATAAAACAAACTGTGTTTCGAGGAGTACTCAGGAGTAAAATTTTGCATATGTAATGATTTAAAGGGTGGAAATACCACTTGTGAAGCACTGAGGTAGTGGAAAAGGGCTTGACAGTACCATGCATTTCCTGCTAGGAAATTTTGTGGCTTATTTCCTCGGGAGATGCGATGATTCTTGTCCAATTGCAACCAGATTTGAAAAGGGACATCCTAAGGAGAGTTAATTTACTAAATTGATGGCTCAGTAGGGGAGGACTAGCAGACGCAGGTGGGTCCCAGGTGTGTGCTGGCTGGCCAGTCAGTGTGGGCCTAATACCGTTGTTGGCGTACCACTGCTGTCTCTTGCTGTCAGGGTGCGTGTAGTGCCTTGTCAGAGTTATCACAGCCCAGATGAGAACAGGATAAAGGGGGAAAGAGGATATAAATCCACAGGAAATCAGGCTCTACTAGTTGCCCCATAAGTCATGTCACTTGTTTAAAGAAAAATCCTCTGACTTACTGTAGCACATGCTGTTCCAAACACATGGTTTTATTTTCATTGCACACACAAGAAACATTTCAAAACCGTCTTTCTTTCCCGAAAGGAATACTGACAGTGATTTGACAGCTGCATTAATTGTAGAGAATACTTTCTCTAGTTCTGCCTTTGCTGCTGTCCTCCCTTTCCCAACAACCTCCCATTAAAAATAAATTTCCCTTTCCATTAACTCCTACAAGCACTGAATTTAAAGTATTTCCTTTTTAATTAACTGTTGAGTTATTTAGCACATGAAGAAAAAGGGATTTTTTTCCCCTCCAGGAGATTAAGCCCCAACTTCAGATGTGACCAGCTTCTTACATAGCACTTTTTTTCATTATTTTTTATTATATGTATTTTTAATAGTCTGTGAGCAACTACACTGAAAACTCTTCTGCCTCCAAGGTTTGTTTAGTTCTGAATCCAAATGCTTCTCCCAAATCCAAACACGGACCTTGACCCAGCAAAGTGTTTGGGGCATCTGTCTACTATTACTATGAGACTATTTCCAGGGAAGTCAATGGTTCAGTTTGTCCATTTAAGAAACTTCTAGAGTTAGGCTGCAAGTCGCAATCTTGCATTGAGATAGATATACATGAACCGATACACCTGGATAAGCCTATTTACTTTAGTAGAGTGCCATACAAATTTAAAGGGTCCATTTGTATTCCTTATGAGAAGATCAAAACCTTAGTGACTCGTGATCCATCTCTGCCGTGTGAGAATTATGTGAGCATGCTAAGCAATGTGCGTACAGCTATGTCAGAAAGGCTAGTAACTACAGAATACATATCATTTGTGAGTTATATAAAAACATACAGTGTAGTATTCATGCAATAACTTATGCAACTCCTCCAAAAGACCTTGGTTTTTTTGACACCTTTAAAGAGGATCTAGAACAGACAGTTAAAATTAAATTTTTATGTGATAACTGAGCAGTATTTGTGCTGAGACGAAAGCATGTCCTGTTCAGACTTGTCTTGCCTCTTTTTCTTTTCAGTATGCCATGTTCTTGTCCCTGGTATTCCTGGCTGAGCTAGTGGCTGGCATTTCAGGGTTTGTGTTTCGCCATGAGGTGAGTGGAAATGTGCTGAGGTTACACATGGCAGCGCCTCTCTGAGCAGGAGTTACTGAAAAGTCCTTTGGAGCGTAAAGAATTTGTAGGTCGCTGAGTTCAGCAGTTCCATATGCGTCTTCAGGGTTGTGGCTGATTTTCAGCAGTAACACAAACAGCTCTTAAGAACTGATATGTTCCAAATGAAGGGATTTAGCCAAAGCTCTTGGCCTCAGCTGGCTGACATTTACTCCGGAGCTATCATTTTTTGTGTGTCCATCATGTAAGATCGTCTTTAGCCTTTTGCATATGCTGAGGGCTGCAAAATAGATTAAATACTTTTCTTAAATGCAGCTTCTTCAGCCAGGCAGAGAGTATTTTCTGAAAATGCTTCATCAAACCAGGCTAGTTTATTTGAGGGCTTGTGAATCATGTGCGTGTGTGTGATAGTTCTTCTGTTCTGAGAGTAGGGAGAGGTTAGAAATAGCATGGGGTAGGAAACTGGGGCAGAGAAGCTTTAAAAGAGCATGATGATCTAGATTTGTAGTAGCACTTCTGCTTTACCTGCTGTAATCGGATTATCTCTAATTTTAAGCCCATGGACCTACATGCCATTAGTACTGAGCCAGGACAAGCCCAGAGACCTTCTCTGTCTCTTCTCTTTGCATTAATTGGTTTTATAGTCTCCTCTTCTGAGCTTTCTCTTGGTATAGGCTTTTCTGGGGTCTGCCTTTACAAGTGGTGGACAGTTTTTAATGTGATCCTGAAATAGCTGTCCATTTGTTGAGGGTTCCCGTTTCACCCGGTCTAGCTGGAAGCTGGGCATCATGCTGCTGCTCCCTTTGGGAGAGGCGCTCTCTTGTGAAGGTCGCAGCAGTGCAGGTTGCCCGAGTCACCTGCCACCCGTCCCTTTTACCGCCCAGTTTGAGTGCCTTTTGTGGTGATGTGCCTGACTTTCTCCAGCTGGGAGGGCTCTTGTTCCTTACCCAGGCACCTTTGATGCTGGCGCTGTGAGGTAGGGTTGCTCCCTCTTCTGGAGCGTCACGTTTCCTTTTGATGCCACTGTCCTCTGTTTCCTGCCTGGGTCTGTGTGACAGAGAAGGCCAGC